ATTTGTGCTATCCTGGGAAATCCAAAATAGGAGAGAGGGATTGTTTCCATTTTTTTTTTTTGACCCGACGAAAAAAAATAGCAGGAAGAAGAGCTACTGAAAACCAAGTCGCCTACGTGCTTTTCCCCAAGAAAAAAGAGCAAAATGAGATTCAGAATCTCACTTGAAAATCATCCTGAAAATCCTTCCCTTGGTATATTTTAGCCCAACAGCGTTCAAGCTAGTTCAAACTGCCAGGTCCTACCTTATTTTGAGCGAAGTCATACTCAAGGCGTAACCGTATTTCTCCAAAGTTGTTTATATCGACGACATCGTCGGGAATTCCATTGACATCCGGTTGAACGTTGAGCGTTTTTGACGTAAATGCCGGCACATCACTAATGGCAACTGTCTTGTTTGTGGCGGCTTGGTACTGGAATGAAGCAGTAAACGTCTTCATACTTGGCACAGAAAAAAAAGAAAAAATGAGAAAAAAGATGTGATGAAATAAAGGAGTGTAGGTGATAAGAAGTGCGAGCTCAGAAAAAAGTACTGGGCGGTATCAAGTGAAGAAGTGGAAGGGTAACTGGAAGTCTGAGCCTATTTCAGTTGAGTATATTCTTTCCTAGCCCTCCTTTTAAGCCCCTCACTTTGTACCTCACGTATCGTGCCAACACTCGCAACAGCGTACCCTTTGCGCAGGCATCGAATTTACTCTACCTCCTTTCGTTTCCACCTTTTAAACACTATCTCATCTCACCTTCAACGCTGATCGCCGAGTATGATCACAACCCCAGCCTCCGATATTTGATTAGGGCCTTTGCTATACAATCATCTGCCTCTGATTTCTTTATACACTTTTGTTTTTATCGCATCGAAGACTTTTTTACTTCGTAATTTGATACCTGTATCGGACGTTCACCTTTAAAAACTAAACTTATGAGCTATAGGGCTGATCACCTCTCTGCACTACTGCGATATATCTAATGAATGAACATATGAATTGTGGAGGAATTGTTGTGATGAAAAGGAAGGCTCCTAGCGAGGCCAGCGCGTTGATTAATTATGTTCCTTCTCCAATTTCCTTTCCTCCGACAACACTTATCTTTTTAATTGACGTTTTCACGCCCTCCCTCAATCTCTTTTTGCTTTTTGCCTCTTGTTAGTGTATTTGAATACAAAATAAGGCTTCAAAACAAGAATTATCTGAAAACATAATCACTTTTTCAGCGGTTTCTTGAAGACTTATGGGAAGCCCCACCTTTAGCTCTAATCTCTTTTTTTCTACTGGGACCCTTAATACCTTACAATTGGAAACAAAACATAAATATGGAACAAATTACTACATAAGCTCTTTTCAGAAGCTCTCAGAGAAATCAGGGAAATTGTAGCTCTCAGCTTATTATTCCATCCATATGGCAGAATAAAATTGAAGGAAATCTGGTTAGAAGTGAACACTAACGAGACAAAATGAGCGCTAATTTTCGCAATTCATCTTTGTTCTCTACAACAGCAGCTGCAACAGCAACATCTCTGCAGCACTGTAACGAAATGCATTTCCAAAACCTACCAATCAATACGTATATTTTCTGTTGAAAACGCAACCTATGTTACTTACTTTCGCGGTAACACCACAGAGAAGGCGCCTATAAGTCAAGGACGGCAAAATTTCGTCTCAAAGAAGTGAAAAATGGCTTAACAACGCTGCCGAGGGCCGAGGGTCTAAGCTCGACAGTTTCACCTCGGACAATTCCAAATAGACGGACGAGCACGGGGAGGGGGGAAGGCTCAAAGCTAAAAGCGATAGTGAGGACAGATAAGATCAGATCGGGGCTGGGCAAGGAAGTAATGGCAACAGGAGACATCCGTTGGATGAGACGAGGCATCAAATAACGGCATCCAGTCAGAAATTCAGGATCCATTCACCCTTGTACATCCGGTTTCCTCTTACATCCCCAAAACCCGTAACCGCAAAATCTAGCTTCATTCTACCCATTTTCGGACGTGTCCTTCGTTTTTTGTCCGAAAGACGTCACATTGTCGTTGCGCCTGAATAGTAAAGGGAAACCTGAGATTTTTCTCCCGTGCTCATTGAAAGAGAACATTCCTGTGGGTATAACCCAAGTTACCCCATAAAGAAGGTTCCCCAGAGAAACATTAGACAAAACGCAATTGTTATAAACCATACATGGACCCCATCACCCTATGGTGATTGCCTTATTTGATCTGCAACAAACTCGAAGGGTACAAACGCTTCAGAACTTTTTTGTGATGATATCTTTTTTCCAATTTTCACGATTGAATTTCTTCGCCAATGCTGGTTTTATGATATTTTTTATAATTCCGCAACGTTGACGTATTCAATGAAGACCGCGAAAGTACTTATGAACAGTTAGAACGAGCTATAGAGCAGTTATAAATTCAGATAGCACCACTATTTCTATGAAAATGAGAAGTGAGGAGGTCACAAGCTGGTATACGTCTGTACAGGAGAAAAGCTGGAAAGGCATTTATCATTCAGAGGGGCAGGCTGAACCCCCAAGGGGCAACGTGACAGAAGGCGGTACCGTCTGCACGCTGCCCTGGTCGGGTAGGTTACGGTAGAAGCGGAAACGCCCTGCTGGGCCCTGAACTGTTCCGGGAATTATTACTAGGATTTTAGGCACATTATGAATGCCATCTATCAAGTTTTTCTCTGAAATAATACAAATTTCAACAGTTTCGCTCTTTTCGTGACATGTAGGTGTCACGCTATTGAACGGTTTTTCCTGCTGTTTTCATGAAGTATCGAAATTTTAGAAAGAACTGGAAACAAACGAAAATCTTTTTTCAGACAGATTCTGTTATCTTCTGGAGACCTCGGTCACCTTTGGAGAATCGCCGAGCGGAAAGATTTATAAAAACCGCACTTCTCGATACCTTAGAGTACGGCCAGGTGCTGAGATATTACCGCAAGGCTGGTGCTAGTTGGACATTGTATCAGATTTGTTTTTAAAGGGCATTTTCTAATGAGTTCGATCTTCGAGATACCCCTGCAAAAGTGCTTTTTCGCTGTGCTCTTATTGTCTCCCAAAGACATCTGGGAAGTTGGGGATTGAGACCGTTTTTAAGCTTTATGATGGCGTTTCCACTTTCTTCCCCACCGTCACTCGAGGGGGATCGAGATGAAATAGGGGGATATTCACGACAATTCTGCAAATGAGCTTCAGGATTATCACCACGGTGACCAGACATGTGCCGAAGAGGCGATGATCTTCTCACATGTGTAATCACCCTCTAATTCGTGTATACAAAATAAGGTCAATGAGGATCAAAAGAGCGAGAAAGAGAGGGAGTTGTTTGTTGATTTCGAAGTAAGCCTCAAACAATTCAATGACTACGAAACTTACACGACTTGCCGAATTATTCCCACCACCACGACGAATTGGACAACAAGTGGTGAGAATACGATAGAATGGGGAACAGGCGACAGCGCCAGTCGCCCACATCACTTGGTCGTCTTGCAGCTCTCACTTATCAGCTGCGAACTGGCTGGTACACTTTACGGAATCATCTATTAATTCCGTCGAACTGCCTTATCTAAAAACTGATTCGAAGTTATGTAGGAGGGGAAAATGGCAAAAACCTGCAGCTAAGGAGAATAGTGAATCCCTAGAATCTCATAAGAACTCGAAGAAGCCAAATATGGCAGCCCAAATGGACTGATGCAGCCCGCTAAACTACTCCTCCGACGTAGAGTCAGCCCCCTCGGTCTTCGTCATGGGCGTGGCTTATGCGAGAAGGTCCTAGAGCGAATCCGTGCTGCCGACTACCGTAGCAACCTGACTCGTGGACGCGTTGAGTTTTCTCATTTCCTATTCGCTAGCTTGGTGAATTTCAGTTATATTTCGCTTATATCTCTTTTGTTCATAGATTTAGGACTTACTTCGTTGCTTGCCTATTGTTCCGTTCTGATTTTTGCCTGTGCCTGCTGTAATACATAGTTTTCAACCATTTGGGGGCTAAGTTCATGCGTAAATCCCCTATAATTGACCTTTTTCCCGGGAAGAATGGTTCTGAAATGAAGCCTGTTTGGAATTGTTGTTGTGTCAAGGATAGCTACATTACGTGGTTTTATTTTTGTGAAACAGCCATTAAGTAATCAACTTATGTCATGATAAGCTGAAATCGTAAGCTGTTTATTTGCTGTATGTTGTCTTTTTTCTTCTACTCTTGAGTTAAGCTCTTTCATGAAGACGGCTATTTGTTGAGAAACTCAGAAATTTGTATATCCTCCTGCGTTTGTATTTGTTCCAAGATCAAAGATACTTTACTTTTCATTGTTTCTTGGACTTGATAGAAAACCAATTTTTATTTAGCATTTTTAGCAAAACTCACAATGGGCTTCGCAAATCTGTGGTTCTCGCATCCTCGCAAATTCGGTCCAGGATCTCGTTCTTGGTGAGTTTTTACAACGTTAATATGTTTTCTTGGATCTTACTCCCTTTCACATTTACTGGTAGTGAACCGAGTTTCTGCCCGTTGTGTGAAAGGATACGGTTAAGTTGTTCTTTCTGTGACCACAAACTCCTTTTCGAATCGCTGCTAATCTCTGCTTTTCACCCACTATTGCCTATACTACACTTCCCCATGGATGACCGTTATTACTCGCTTTTTTTTTAATTTGAAGTTTTTTGTGATACACGTAGCGGTTGCGGGCTACAGCACAGTTTTCCTTCAACTTTGAACGCTGTAGCACCAGAGAAGGTAGTGCAGTCCATTTTGGAGCACATAACTTTTTCCACGAGGTAATCAACTCACCCTCACCCACTCCGGCGGCTTGCCCTCCTGAGGCTTAGGTAAAAACCATTATATAATTTGGCTGGGAACCGTCTTCAAGCATATGTAATATTTGTTACTCCTCCTCTGCGTTCTAATGCCTCAAAGTAGTTGAGCCCCCCCCCCCCCCCCCCCCCACCCCGCCCCCCCCCCCCCCCCCACCCCCAC